ATATCCTTTTTTATTCCAGATTTAATCAACCCCAAAGTTTAATGTATTAGGCCATTTGGGAAGTAGAAATGAGTGATAAATAAGACATTGTCTGGCCTTTATTTTAATTAGACCTCGGGGAAAATATATTTTTGAATAGTAATTTTTTGAAAAATGTACGGGTAGAAAAGAAGAATTTTTTTTTTTTAAATTTATATGTAATATTATTTTATTTGAGAAAGTAAGATTGATAAAAAGAGAGAAAAAAATGAATTATAAATTTAATTGAGCCCAAACAAGGGCTAAAGAAATAGTACTTATGAATTTATTATGTATGATAAAAAAATAAAATTTGACAATTTATAAATAATTTAGTAATTTTACCAAATAGATGCTTAGATTTGCAAGAGTAAATAAGAAATATGGTTTCCAAGGGAAAAGAGGTAGAAATGATAAAACAATTATGCTTTTTGTACAATCATAATAATTGACAATTTTGGTGTTGTCAAAATTCAAATCATTAATTTAAAAAAAAATTTTGAAATGGATGAATGTAATGTTGTCAAGTATAAATTGTCAACCAATATTATCAACCTGTATCTTATATGTAGCACGATTCGATGAAATGATACTTGATTGTGGAAGTGGATGTTCAAGTACAAGTTAGATTTAGAATATAGATTTAAAAGAAAATAAATTACGATTCAATTGGAGTACTATAAAGAGGATCTCTCAAATTAGACGTAAAAGCAACACTCGTAATGAAGGAAAGAAAAAAAATACTAGCAATGAAAGTATGTAACGTCAAATCAAGTTTGCGAACAGGTAAACAAGCAAGTAAAAACAAGTTTTACTTCGAGAATCCTCAAGCTCTCACGCTATTTCCCATCTTTCCTATGAAATACCTAGCAACATAGACTCTAGTTTAGTCTTCAACTACCAAAAACAACTCTCTTATGTTTAACGAATAGAAAGATTAGTATCATCAAACCTGTAAGCAGCCACGAAAATTACAGAATTTAATGAATAGAAAGATTCGTGAACACGTATACTTCTTGAAAACCTAAATATTGCAAAATTAAACATGCTAGAATGCAATCTAAAAAGGAAAAGGATCTGAAGACAATACTAATCTAATTTGATCTTTGAGTTCACTCCGAAGAACATTCGGATATTTTTGGAAACAACACACATCTTAATTATTCTCAACGCTAAACATTTAGAGCATGGTTGGCAAAGCTTTTTCAAGCTTATAAGTCAGTCAAACATCATTTTTAACCAAACATTCCCGAGAACCTACAACTACTTTGCAACCACTAGAGGTGTCAATCCGGGTAGTCCGGGCCGGATCGACCCGCCAACATATGAGTCCGGTAACGGCCCGCATGAAAAAGAGTCCGTCTGCTACGGATTCCTGGCCGGTTCCAAATCGGCCCAAAAATTTTGGACTACAACCCTACCCGCCCGCTGACCCATGCAGGCCACGAGTCGTGCGTGTCGCAGTTTGTTTCGATTTAGCTCGTATTATTGTATAAATAAAATTATAAAAATATAGAATTTTTCATATTTATAGCAAAAAATATTTTTTTTTTTGTTAAATGTAAACTAAGAATTGAAAAAAATGATAAAGAAAAATGCTAAATGTACACAATTATTGTACATAAGAGTGTATATAACCTTCACATGGGGTGTGGTTCACAAAAACGTGGGCTCCACCCCATGTGAGGGTTATTGATACCCCTATGTAAAATAATTATGTACACCAAACAAAATCCAATGATAAATTCATATTTTTATCAAGAAATGTTTACATAGAATTCAAATTTAATGTTACATGAATTATTTATAACTTTGCAAAATTAAATTTAAGTTAAACAAACAACAACTAAATACATTTTTAATTATTANTAACAACTAAATGCATTTCTAATAATTATTTTCAAATATTTATAGCATAAGTTACATCCCAACTGAGTTGGCACCTACGATTTTAACATTAATAGCATTAGTATAGCCAGCAAACGATTTTAACATTAAAAAAGTTGAACTCCATCTATTGAGAATATCATCAACAAATTTTCTTCCCTCCATTTTTTTCAAATTAAAAAATAAAAATAAAAATTTACAGGCCAGCGGGTTAACCGCGGCCCATGAAGGTTCAACCCGCGAAGCCCGCGGGTTACATTTCCTTGACCCATAAACGCCCGCTAGAGTCACGGGTCGGCCCGCCGTCCCGAGTCGATCTGGGAAGGTTTTCACAGTTCTGATCGGCCCGTCCGTCTTGACACCTCTAGCAACCACAAGCAAGGACTTAATACATCAAAAAACATTTACACGATTGTTTCACGCCGATAAACAACAATTGGGCTTCAAATAATTTTGAAGAGGCAAAAACCTTTTCAAGAAAGGTGAGTTGGTGACAATATGAACGGTCATGAAGCCAAAAGTTTCAAATTTGAGACTAAACACAATGCTTATCCAAACCCAAGTAATAGCTCGACCTGTTTTGCATGTAAAGATTCATGTGCCACATTTGTCAAAAGTACAACAGAATATATAGTACTTTCCTAAGTATATCATAATAGTTACTAATCTCTGTTAAAGCTCAATTTTTCAAGAGAATTATAAGGTTATTTTTTTTATAAAATTTAAATATAAACAATACCAAAATGACGTTGTAAGCTGTTCGGGCCACACTTCACATAGTTCTTGTAACGCCCCGAGTTCCGTAAATCCGGAGTGCCACGTCATCCTCATTTGTCCTGTATTAACTAAAAAGATTTGTGAAAAATAACTAAATTTTAAACTTCACATTTATAATTGTAAAACTTTGTCGGCAATAGAACTCATTTGATTAATTTAAGAAAATTGACTAAACCTTAAATCTCAAGTTTTTTTGAAATAACTGAAATGACAAGTACGTTAATAACGTTCAAATACGTAAATTTCAAAAGTAATAACGTCATCTATTAAATCGTTGCCACCACTGCCCATCAAACCCCCATCGTCTCCAAAATCTGCAAATGTCGTTAAAATAACAGAATGAGTATTTCGAAGTAGACTCATCATCAATAATTTATTTATAAAATAATTGAATACGTAATCATGCAATTTATACCGTGACATCGTAGTCATCATCATAGGCTCTTTAAAATCGTAAGGTGTGGGTAGTCTCGTCTCATGCATTTAAGGACATAAGTTATGCATAACATTTTCATCTTATCTCATAAAAGATACTCGTCATTCTCATGCATTAAAACATATATGTTATGACAATCATAAAAGTGTCATACATCTCATAAGAAATATTCTCATCTTATGCATTAAAGCATATAAATCACGTAGATTCACATAATACATACCATTATAATTTAAACTCATTAATGGTGGCGAGTTTACCTCAATTTATTTCCAGTCNATGATATAAATAAAGTTCAGGGGCTTAATTTGAAATTTATGAAACTGAAATTATTAAGTTCACCGGCCGAACAGTCGGTGGCAGCGCCACCGTCGCCACCACGCCTGGTGGCGCCGGTGCGGGGTGGAGGCTGTTGGATGGTTTTGGCGCACGAGGTCAAGGGCTCGGGTTCTTGGGATTTCTTGGTAGGAATCAGGCTGGAAATGGGTCGAAGAAGGAGGTAAGTTTATGGGTTTTGACTTTTCTTGGTTTTTGTGGTTGTTTGATGTGGATTTTGGGTTGAAAATGGCGACAGTTTGGTGTTGATTAGGGTGAAGTGTGGCGATCGATTGGGGTGGAGTAATGGCTATTCGTGTGGTGGTTTTGTGGCCGGTGGTTTGAAGTTGGGTTTTCAGCCGGGATTTTCAGTCGATTATGGTGAAACTCAATGGGCTGCAGTGTCGATTTTGGGTGGTGGATTGTAGCTTGTGTGGCGTTAGAAATTGTTGATGGTTTGCGGCTTGCGAGTTTCCTGTTGATGCTATAAATTGATGTTCTAGCATCAATAGTGAATTCACTGTAAAATGGATTGAGGAATAATTTTGGGGAAGATGCAATTTCTTTACCAAATTTGGTTGGCTGCGTGAGTGTGAAGAGAGGGAGGAAATGAGAGTGCTATATGAACAGTAATTTATGGCACAAAATTCTAGGAGTTAAATGGGTCAAGAATTTGGGTTGTAAGGATTTTTCCTAATTGGGCTTAAGTGACTTGGACCAAGAAAATCGAGATTGGCTAACAAAATGTTGGACTCTAAATAATAAAATATGGGAGCAATACATAAATAAGGTATTTAAGTATCACTATTTCAAAATTAAGGTTTGATGTTTTAAATTTCAAAAATTAGGTTTTCATTAAAATTTATTTATAATTTAATGAATTAATTATATATTTTATTAATAAATATATAAAGGTCACAGATCTATGCAATTTGGTCACAATTCAAAATTTTAAGGTCACAATTAAAATTTTTTATAAGTCACAGTTCGTTCATCGGTCACAAATTAAAAATTTATAAGTCACAATTTGTTCATTGGTCACAAATCACAAAATTTAAGTCACAACTTTTATTATGGTCACAAAACATCAAATTATATGTCACATATTACTTTTATTGGTCACAAATTAATAAATTTGTAGGTCACATAGCATTTATTGGTCACAATTTATTTTTTATTGGTCACACACTAACCATTTTACTGGTCACAATCAACAAATGATTTGTGACCACCACCAACACAACACCACTGTCGCCTCCGCCGCCACCACCAACTCCATAGAAACGCACCATCGTCGCCAACACCAACACTTCCAAGCAACAAAATCACCATTTCAAATCTTGCAGACAACGTTTTCACCGCTACCACTACACCAAACCGTCAACATTACCACCACCACCACCCCCCACCCAAACACCACTAAAACCGCCGGACCACCACACCACCACTACCACCAACACCCATCCAACAAAAAAAAAAAACTACAGATCACCCCTTCGCGCAGATCTCTGGGTGGGATGCAAAACTACAGATTGCCCCTTCACCGTACAAAACAAAACTACAGATCCTAGAGGTGGCGTACTTGTTTGGAGAGTGGGCCAGAGGCGGAGAGCTCTTCACGGACAAAATCTCTAGTGGCGATGTGGGGGACACCGAGCAAGACGGAGGGACGGCTGGCGAAGGTACCATTTCCAACGCCCAGGCATCCCAGGAACACCCACTGAATATTTTTGTCCTTAGTATCTATCAAGGGAGTGTAGGATTCGGATTTCAAGGGTGCGGCGGACGATGATGCCACCATGGATAGAGACCTTCGAATAAAATAATTAGTGAAGGTGGATGAGGATGACGAGGATCTGGAAGCTCGGATCACGGCCGCCATGTTTGTGGTGGGGGAAAGGAATTGGCAGCGACGGCAGATGATAATGGGGAAGATGGAGAGGAAATGTGACGGGGAGAGAGGGGGAGAGAAAATGAAATGAGAGATGAGAAGAGAGGAGGAAATGAAATTAGGGTTTGAAAATTGTGTAGAATTGATTTAAATAAAAATTAATTTAAAAATGATTAATTAAAACCTGATTTATGTATTATTAAAGTTGATTTTGGATTTTTGAAAATGATAACTTAAAACCTTTGTGGGTGTAATTTCCTCATAAAATATTGCACTTATAGTTGTTAAAATTTGGTTTCAAAATGATAAGGAATTGAATACTTAGAATTACTCGAAATTGGACTCGACTTGAATAGTTTTAAATTAGTTTAACAACGGCTAGACAAACACGCTTTTAACTTTAAAATTTGGGGTTAAAGCTTAGAGACACGTTTTTCAAGATAATAATTTTATATTATTTAAAATTTCTCGGATGCTCTTTTTTTCCAGAAATATAATATTCTAACTAGCAGGTAGTTACAGTCAAATTTTATATCTTCCTCTAGATAAGATTTACAAATATGTAGGCAGCATGCATGTACAATTTTTTCAATGCATCATTGCATACCGAGTTATGGCACTTATTGTGAATTTCTGCAATTTATAATCGAAATTAAATTATCTGAGCAATATCTCCTTTTACCTTATTTACCCAAAAGACACTAATATGGTACAACCACTTCTCACTATTTTCCCTTTTTTTTTTTTTTTTACCCTTTCAAATTTCTGTACACAAGAAATACCACAAAAGGCCAATGCCAACAATATCATTGTCACGTATAGTTGAAACAGTTGGTCTAAAAGATATCTCTACAGCCTCCTATTGTTTTATCCAATATAGATCGCAGCCAATACCAAGAAATGTAGATTGTATGACTGAACACTATTGCCAATTAGTAACTACTCTTTCTAACTCTCAACTTCACAAAATACCATTCACAAGCTTTCATTCTTTTATGGATTTAATGGCACATTTTAAAATACTAATGGACGCACGTGTAATGCACGTGTTTCAGTTTAGTTGGATACTTAATAGTGTGGCGTTGATTGATTTTTAGTTATTTTTGGTAATGTTTGTAATCTTAGTTATGTAGGGCTCCCATTATTCTTCCAGCTTAATGCCTGAAAATCTGTTATTCTCTCACTTGGTTGACAGCACGGCTTATTATTCTTTCTGCAGTTTCCTGGGAGAAAGACCCCTTCTTCTGCTTGAATGGGTTGGCTTCAAAATAAGTAATTTTACTTCCTATCAGTAGATAAATTAAACCATCTAAACATATTTGAAAACATAAATTTACTTCGTTAAGTTTATTGTAATTTCAGGCAAAACGCTCACTGTGTGTCTTGTTGAAGAGTTCTTTCAACCAATTCCTTCAGCCTTTCTATTCTTGTCTTTGTCCAAACTTTGATCATGTTGGCTATTGCACCTTCAGCTTCATAAGGAGGCATCTCACGAATGATGGCCTTCGCACCATCATCACTATCCACTGAATCTTCAACAGCAATATTGACACGATCTTTTTCCAACTTATCAGCAGCTCTCAGTATTTGTACAGCATCTGGTGTCAACTCTGTTATACCTGCAATAAATTGCTTCAGCTCATTCCCATAGCATGTATGTAGTGTGGCAATAGCAATACCTGCAGCAAAAGGGTGCCATCTCTTCAAGATAGGACTGAATATGTCATTTTCTTTCATTGCAAGATCCCCAACATCCTTTGCAAGATTAGCAAGAATAGCTAGGGCAGGAAGGGAATTCAGCTGGTTCCTTGATGATCTTCTGCTTGAATCTGCCTTCTCCATTCTCTGCAAGTCCAAAATTTATACATTACCCAACTATAGTTTAACTATCATTCCTTATTCTGGTAGCATGTTTACGTAGACCAAGAAATGAAAGCACTGTCTCTAACTTGAGAGTTTTCAACTTAAAAGAAGATCAAGTGGAAATGACACCAACTATATGCATGCATGTTAACAAACCACTTTAAGTTCATAACATGCCTGAGAGGAACCAGCTCACAATTTTAGTTATATCTCTATAAATACATTCACATCTTCAACATGAAGGATGGATTTTGAAGGAAAAGAATTGCCATAAAAGTTATGAAAGCCCAATGATGTGCATGTGTTGGCCAAATAGTATTACCATCTCTATAAACAGAGATATAATTGCAATGTTCTTGCACATGAATTTTTTAATACCGCTCCATTCATAGGTCTACAAGTTTAGATTAATGCCTTTAAGATCAATTTCATATAGTTTGCTACTGATGGCAACACCATTTCTCCATCCTAAGTTCCCAAATTTTCTCTTGGAATGCATCCTGCACTCTTCAGCGGCAGAACTTATGTACCCATAGGCATCATTACAATCACTTGGTCTCAACTTCATTGAAGCTTAGATTTTAAATTGTTAAATGAGAATTTAAAGACTGAGGAACTTACCTGAGCAAAAGCCGTGCGGAGTGAAGACCTGATGTAAGTGTCAATCCTGCTGCGTACCACATCAGTTTCATTTTTTCTTCTTCGACGATACTCATTTGATATATCTTCAACTAAGATTTTGGCAACTGATACCCCAATAGAAACAATGCTTTGCATGGAATCAATTTTTCCACTATCAAAAGTTTCATGATATGCCAGGAATCTTTTCTCAGCCCAACCCAACATGGCAGTCAATGTAGAACTCAAGATCTTAGAGTAAACAGGATCCTTCGTCACCTTTGCACCTTTTGCAACTTCAGCAAGCTGATTGTCAGCAGCATATAGCAGATCGTTTTCAACTTGCCCAGTAACAACATATCGGTTGAACAGAACCCATGTAAAGCAAATATTGTGCAGCATTTGATTCAGTCCTAGGATCCCCCAAGTTTTCTTAATGAGTTCCATAAGCTCATCAACTTCATCTATAATGGAAATTTCATCATTAGTATCAAAGCATGCTTCTAGAAGCATTTCATAGAGCCGGAGATTCAATGGGATACCATCTGCCCAATGGCAGAAAAATAAAAATTTAAAAAACAAAGTAAAAAAAAAAAAAAAAAAAAAAAAAAAAAAAACATTTTCAATGTTTTAGTTGTGCGTCGTCGACGATTATTGAACTATATTTAATTATTACTTGATCTCTTTTAAGCTCGTTTTTTATTTTATTATTATTCTTTTTTTTTTCTATTGAGTGTTTGGTTCCAACAATTGGTTACCTCATCCTATTTCATCAGACGAGAGGGCCCATTAAGTCATTGTTGCTTGTTCACATAAATGGTATAGTAAGATGAAATATGAAAATTGGTAATCATACGCAAACTTCGATTCAGTTTCAACGTAATAGAGCAGCGTCGCATATCTTTTGATTATTTTCTCATCATTTAATCGATCGATGGTACTGGAAAAAATACCCACTACAACAATACATTAGAATCTTAAGCATTTCCCTGCTAAACCAACCACTATATGTGAATAAAAACTTGAATATAAGAAATATATGTATTAATAAAAGCAAATGTAGACTGTGTAAATCAATGAATGCACTCAAAAGTGATAAGAATAATGAATATATTTAAACAATTTATAGACAACTAAAATAAATAATAATACGACATACCCCCATCATTCCTTAGCAAGCCTTCCTTCAGATATTGCCACAAATGCAAGAGATGGAATCAATATACCAAAAGCTTCACAAAATTTACTGTACAAAAATGGCATTGCCTAAAGTTCCCCGAGAAAGTTCCGGCCAGAGCGTGCACCTAATACCAACCGGACTCTGGAAGTGAATCTCCTTCTTCATCATTTGGCATCACATCTTGAGTTTTTACAGTTTCTTTGGCAGGTTATAAGTCTTCTTAAGAAACTTTGAAGCAGCTTCATCGTGCCTATAACACAGAACTCGCAACAGTGTGTTTGGCTCAGTCGGATTCCACTGCCCAGAGGTTGGAGGTAAGGGGAGTCGAGATTTTGCAGAGGAGCCATATGTTTCCAAAGTCAAACGTCTGAATCGCTCGATGAGGCTCTCTGTATCCGTACGGAAGAGTGGAAGGACGTCTCTTGCTGTGGACGAGAACTTACCAATCACATCATCAGGCAACCCATCGCCATTGGCCCAGAATAGATCCTTGAGGGACTTGAAATCGTCCTCTATAATCTGCGAGTCTTGGCGAGAAAATGCACGCAAGGGCCCTCCAGCAAGCAAAACAAACAAGAAACCATCAAAGGAGGCTCTCATTATGTCAGCAATAATACGTATACGAACTCTTTCATGAATGTTATCTGAGATAACGGTAAGATTCTGCTCGAGGTCCTGGAGGAAAGGTTCAATTCTAGAAGAAGAAGGCTCACCAACATACAAACTATCCCATAAAGCATGACTAAGATCATGGAAGACAATTTTATAGGCGACCGCCTCGCAGAGTTGTTGGATAGCTTCAACACAAGCAGCTGGTGTAAGGTCAAACTTTTTTCCTAAACCATTTGAAAAGTCTTCTACTTGGGCAGATTCAGAATTCCTTAGTAGAGTTATTATTCGTTTCTCGAGAACCTCCAACTCCATCCGTATTTTGTGTAAAGTATTTATACGCACACATGCCTGTGGTACCCCAAAAGAGCTATCTCCATTCATTGTAGCAACCTGAGGATTCCTTCTCTGGGAATTCACTGCTTTCTCTTTCTTCTTCCATTGAAATTTTGTCCCTACAGTACACCTTGTTAATGCTGGCATGGTGGGAATATAAGTGTTCCTTGATCCTGTGTGCGAAAAAAAAATTAGTTAATTCATTGCAAGGAATCCTAAGAAAAATTAAAAATTAATATATAAGTCAGCTCAGCAGAATTACCACAGCCAGACTTTGCCTTAGTTACGTAAAATTGAAGACATTTATCCAGGCCGGTCATCAAGTCAGGGAGTAATGCTGGATGAAGTGGTATTGGCAGCTGAAAGTATGCATCCAAAGTTTCATCAACTAGTCGTAAAACCTCGATAGCTGAAGGGGCACATCCTTCTTGATTAGCTTGTGGGTTCCAAACCTATAAATTGGAGAAAATATATGAGAATTTGAAATTTATAATGAAGTTGACAAGAATGAAGGTACCATTTTACAGTAATCTCGACACTTTGCAACACAAATAGGCAACATTATCAATATCAAAAAACTATAAGCTAGACAAGGGTAGACAATTAAATGTGTAATTTCTCATGTGTAGTCATTTAATCAATTAAACCTGATGAGCTCAATTAACAATTTTACATCTAAACTTTTCATAAAAGAATAAAAGGAACCAAGATGCAAACTACCCCAGCAGATACAAGGGAAAAAAAAATACTCCATATTTCATTACCATGTTTCTTCTAATCAGTAATCACACTGTTCTGATAACAACCTGCAACTGGAAAGATAGCCTATACTTCAGGAAATCTTCAACTAGAAGTATGTGTTGGAATATTGTTGCTTGAACAAAATCTTTTAAGTCCAGATAAAGGAAAAGTAATCGTCCTATAATAAGTAGGACTTGTGAGTCATAACTCTCACCTAAACGAAGTGATTGAAAGAATACCCTGGCAAGTATTAGAAGCTTTTTAATTTCCACAAAATCTTTTCGCTCTCAGTGTAACTTAGAGATCTACTGCAGTATAATTCTACTTAAGTGTAAAAACAATAAAAGTAATATAAGGTTATAAGATTTCAAATACATGTATGCAAGGACTGCTAGAGATAAAATTAAGGTTATACAGGACTGTGTTCGGTTCAATAAGGAATCAAACATACTGAAAATATACCTCTTGTTGAAGAGTTCTTTCAACCCATTCCTTCAGCCTTTCTATTCTTGTCTTTATCCAAACTTTGATCATGTTGGCTATTGCACCTTCAGCTTCATAAGGAGGCATCTCACGAATGATGGCCTTCCCACCATCATCACTATCTACTGAATCTTCAACAGCAATATTGACAAGATCTTTTTCCAACTTATCAGCGGCTCTCAGTATTTGTACAGCATCTGGTGTCAACTCTGTTATACCTGCAATAAATTGCTTCAACTCATTCCCATAGCAAGTATGTAGTGTGGCAACAGCAACACCTGCAGCAAAAGGGTGCCATCTCTTTAAGATAGGACTGAATATGTCATTTTCTTTCATTGCAAGATCCCCAACATCCTTTGCAAGAATAGCAAGGACAGGAAGGGAATTCAGCTGGTTCCTTGATTATCTTCTGCTTGAATCTGCCTTCTACATTCTCTGCAAGTCCAAAATTTAAACATTTTGTCAAACATTACCCAACTATAGTTTAACTATTATTCCTTATTCTGGTAGCATGGTTACATAGACCAAGAAATGAGAGCACTGTCTCTAATTTGAGAGTTTTCAACTTAAAAGAAGATCTAGTGGAAATGACACCAACTATATGCATGTTAACAAACCACTTTATTTCATAACATGCCTGAGAGGAACCAGCTCACAATTTTAATTATATCTCTATAAATACATTCACATCTTCAACATGAAGGATGGATTTTGAAGGAAAATGACTTGTTTGCTAGAATTGCCATAAAAGTTACGAAAGCCCAATGATGTGCATGTGTTGGCCAAATAGTATTACCATCTCTATAAACAGAGATATAATTGTGATGTTCTTGCACATGAATTTTTTAATACCGCTCCATTCATAGGTCTACAATTTTAGATTAATGCCTTTAAGATCAATTTCATATAGTTTGCTACTGATGGCAACCATTTTGCACCATTTCTCCATCCTAAGTTCCCAAATTTTCTCTTGGAACTCATCCTGCACTCTTCAGTGGCAGAACTTATGTACCCATAGGCATCATTACAATCACTTAGTCTCAACTTCATTAAAGTTCAGATTTTAAATTGTTAAATGAGAATTTAAAGACTGAGAGGAACTTGCCTGAGCAAAAGCCGTGCGGAGTGAAGACCTGATGTAAGTGTCAATCCTGCTGCGTACCACATCAGTTTCATTCTTTCTTCTTCGACGATACTCATTTGATATATCTTCAACTAAGATTTTGGCAGCTGATACCCCAATAGAAACAATGCTTTGCATGGAATCAATTTTTTCACTATCAAAAGTTTCATGATATGCCAGGAGTCTTTTCTCAGCCCAACCCAACATGGCAGTCAATGTAGAACTCAAGATCTTAGAGTAAACAGGATCCTTCATCACCTTTGCATCTTTTGCAACTTCAGCAAGCTGATTGTCAGCAGCCTGTAGCAGATCGTTTTCAACTTGCCCAGTAGCAACATATCGGTTGAACAGAACCCATGTAAAGCAAAGATTGTGCAGCATTTGATTCAGTCCTAGGATCCCCCAAGTTTTCTTAATGAGTTCCATAAGCTCATCAACTTCATCTATAATGGAAATTTCATCATTAGTATCAAAACATGCTTCTAGAAGCATTTCATAGAGCCGGAGATTCAATGGGATACCATCTGCCCAATGACAGAACTCCAACAGAGATCCATCAGATGATCTGCTAGCAAGTGCCATTACTGTAGTGCGAAGGACTTGCATCGACTCGTTGTTCCTCCCAGTTTCCATTGGCCTCTCTAAGGCTGATTGAATAATTTGGCGAAGTCGTTGAGCAGCAGTATTGACCTTATCTAGTGGCATGTGTGGATGTAAAAGGAGTCCAGCCTCGAGCATTTTAAGGTTTCTCTTCTGCCATGCTTGATATTCTTCTTGATCAGTAAAATCTGAAGCTTTGAATTGTTGTAATAGCTCTAGTGGGAGAACCATGGACTCTATTCTTCTCCCAACCTATATCAAGAATATATGGGGAAAAAAGGAATTCTGTTATCAATGTCTCTATAAAGTATAAAATAATATCAAGCATTAACCATAATCACATTCAAATGTAAAGAAATCTTTGAACTCAGAAACATTTACCTACTTTTAAAAAAATTTAGCTCCATTCATGGAAATTTGAGTTTTAAACTTAAATTCAGGATATATCAGAACTTTGCCAAGAACTTGATATCATCCAAGAAATTAATGCATCATTCTATTTGTAACAAGACAGCAGTAACAATCCAATTCGACAAAGGCAACAAAACAGAAGAGTAGAAATTGACATACTTGTTAGTGGGCGGTTGACAAAAAATTAGTTATCTCATGGCTTAATGCCACGTAAACAAAAATAGAAAAACTAAAAAACAAATCTAAACACAGCAGCCAAACAAAATCACCTCGCAAAATTCAACAAGTGCGTCACCTTCAAGAAAATTAAAACACTGGAAAATCTCACAATATTTTCAAAACAAAGCTTTGCTAGCATTTTAGAATTTAGTGAAATAAATTTGCATAAACAATTCTAAATCGAACTCAAAACAGTTCCAGGAAAAGATTCAGTCTTTAGCGAAATAAATCCCAGAATCCACCAAAAAAGTCACAATTCCACCCCCACAACCAAACTAAACATAACAAAAAAAAAAAACTATAAATTCCTGTTTAATCAGACTAAGACATTTAGATCCAGATTGTGTCTTTCCTATTATGATGCACTCCATTCCCAGCTCTATGCCCATTCGCGTTTGACTTTACAGGCTTCTCTTTGCTTACACAAATCCTCATTTTCTCTCTTCCAATCCCTCAATTTGATCCTTACAACACAAAAAAAGAGTCAACAACCAAAACCCAGATGGAAATTCACAAAAATACTGAAGAATCTAATCAAATCAGAGGCTATTTAATTGGGTTCTAATTGAATCATCCATGTATAGAAAGTAGATTTCTTCTTGTAGAAGACTCAGAAAAAGTCTAAAATTGAAGAAGCAACAAGGAAATTAGACTTGAAGTTGATTAAGGTAATGAATGACTTGAATTAAATTAAAGACTACCTCAAAAGATTTATTCTATTGATTTTTGGGGGAGCTGGGACACAGCTCCCAGCTCCGTGCATCACGGAGCTGGGAGCTCCCAGCTCCGCACGGGAGGACTCTCCATGCTGAACGGAGAGTTACTTTCCCTCTCTGTTCAGCACGGAGAGTTCGAACCTCTCCGTGCTGAACGGAGATGGACTCTTCCTCTCCGTTCAGCATCTCTCGGCCAAATTTTCTTTTCATTTTTTTCATTCATTTTTTAAATTCCCTCAACTCAAACTTATTCTTCTTCTTACACACATTCATTACCTCCCCAACGCTCTTCTCAATTTCTTGCTAGATTCCTCCTGCGAGGCATCAATCAACAACCTGGAGTATGCCTCCAAGTGAAAAGGATCCTTTTTCAGAGAGAAGAAGTGCAGCAAAAATCTCAAAGCCAGAAGCCTAAAAAATATAGAGAAGAAAGCGCTTACAGACGTGAGGCGGAGGTAGTGTTGGTTACAGGCGTGAGCATCACAGAGGCAGTGGCGGAGGTAGTCCGGAGAGATTGCGATAGAGAGGGTTGCGATATTGGATGCTTAACCCCGATAAATCACGGAACACGCATTATGAAAACAAATGGGACGTCGTTGTTTTGGTTGACGATGGGAGAATTCGACGCGTGGCAAAAGAAAACTGCCTCTTTTAATATTGTTAGGATATTGCATCCCCCCAAAGAGAAGGTCATGCATGCTAACTTTAGTGTCTGGGATTCATTTTATGTAATGCATATAATTCACCAGTTAAACATGAACTAAGAAAGTTCAAGTAAGATCACAAACCTCACAGCATCAAAGGCTACTAAAAAGTCTAAAACCTCTTCAAAGTTGTTTGAAATGGAAATTTGATAGCTTATAGGCTTGATGATCCGAGCAATAGTAGTACCCAGCTTTCTGGAATCCTCAAGCTGACTCTTACAATTCATAATTTTCCCCAGAAAGTCAGGACTTCGAACACCTCTTGGTTCAGCCACAGAACATGTTGCAATCGCATTTTGTGCATCATCCATAGTGTACGATCCTTGACCATTCTTGAACCTGTTGACAGAACCAGATTTCCTCTTTTTAGCTCCAACGCATTGACTCGACGGAGCTGATTCTACAACATCAGCCGTTTGCAACCCATTTACAAAGGCATCTCCTCTTGTCACTTGGCCTACTTGAGAAGGCATAGCAAGGCTTTCCATATTACACTCACTTGTTATCACAGCTCCCTTTAGTTCACATAGCTTCAAATCCAACT